TGCATAAATTTATCAAAAATCATTAATGCAGTACATATTCTTCAATTACACTGCAGATTTAATCTCTGAAAAAATCTATGATTGATCATTTTGATTATAGAACAGATGTATCTTAATTTTCAATAGATGAACAGTGGAGTTGCTTCATTGATTTTTAACTTGGCTATCAACAAATTCAACAATGCAGAGCTATTCATTTATCAATTGTCCATCTTCCATCACCAGCGTCTACTTTAATACATTTTCGACTTAAAAAACTTGGTGGTTTACTCTTAGGTTTGTTTATTTTGTGATAATACCTACTTTTAGTGAATAGTGTATACAGTAGTAAGAAGGCAATTTCAGCTTCCTTTTCAAAATGGCTACCCAAGTTGCTTCCATATTTTATTTGTAGACACCTTGGTTGGACCTCAGTCAGATTAATCATTTTGTAATGATACCTTCAATTCTTTAATTTTATTTAACATTTTTAGTAAAATGCATGAAATATGCAAATTTAGTTAATATAACTAGGAGAGTTACCAAATTTGACCCCTGTTTTTCGCATTTTCTGTTTAAGATTAGAGCTCTGAAATTTTCAAATAATACTTAAATATATAAATTCTATAAAGCATGAAATGTCAATTTTGATTAAGATTCGTTCAAAAAAACGATCTACTTATACATCATTGAAGACTTTCATCATTACCACAATGCTGAAACTAATATTTGTAAGTGCATTATCAAAATAGGTACATGACGGCAAATTTGATTCAATCAGTCTGAATCTCATCTTAACGTAAATTAACTTAGATTGTGTGTTAAGAGGTCTATGACCTTACAGACCTTCAGTACATAGACTCGAATATATTTAGCGTTACCACGGTAAGCAGCTGATTTGATTGGCTGATTGATTATAAATACCAGTGAAATTAATAATATATTATATTAAAGGACACATACATAAAACTTTAATTCTCAACAACTATGAAAGGACCAGTTACCCCAACAAAGCCCTGCAAAAGCTACCCGCTACGAAATCCACTTACCTCAAAAGTCACTCATCGTGAAGCTACTAGTAATATATAGGAAAATATATATGACCAGATTGGCCACTTAAAGGAACTCTCAGATGATAACAAAACAAATATATATTCACTCGAAAACTATATTTAACAATACAAATTCATTGAAACAACTCACTCAATAATTTAAAACATGCCAAACTGAAAATATCAGAATTTATCAAAACTGTGAAGCCAATGAATATTTCCTATTAGTGAGTCAAAACGAGTCAACAGCGTACTGTCTGAGTGCATACTTTGCGGTATCCTCATAATAACCTTATTATTATACATGTTTTCCTCCCCAAGATACATCTTGGGAATGTTGAAATCCAAAAAGGATCAGAACAGATTTAGCAAACTTTTTTGTATGGAGTCCGGTCAAACCCTTGGGGCTACCCTGTTTGTTTTTATTATTAGATTACGCTCATGTGCGTAATCGCTCCATATTTGGAATTTCCTAATATGGTAGGGTGAAAATACCCAGTGCAATACCGCAAAATTACAGCATGCTGTAGCTTATGGCATTATGATGACAGATGTATAATGATACTATTTTTTTAATATTTATTTGAGGTAAAGAATTGATCATAATTACATGTAAGTAAAAAGACTACAGTATATCCAAGCATTCAAAATATTTAAATTTTTGCAAAATTAACTGTGTAATATTTTTATTTCTTCAGTTTTTTAGATGACTTACACCGTGTGACATCTCCAGGGTATTTACCCACATTGCAAGATATACTGTATATAAGAACACCAACAATGGGTGTGGTGGAAAGTCACTTTCAAATAGATGATGTCACTTACAGGTAAAAAAAATAAATTATCTAATTGTTGATTCTATTTCATCAAAAACAATGAATATTACAATGAAGAGCAGAAAACTGGGTTGTTATAAAAGTTTTAAAAATATACATTTTGAAATTGAACAACCCAGAATGGTATTGTGACATCATCGATATTTCTAATGAATATTAATGAGTTGGTTCAACATTATCCAATCAGCAAGCGCCTCCTTAGAATTCATTGGCATAAATAGGTTGCAGTTGCGATGTCATACATTATGGTCATGGACTATATTTCGCTTTTGAGCCAATCACTAATAAATATTTGAATTTGCATGAAAGCTGATTATCGGAACAACTTTTAAAATACATTCATAAGCAAAGCCCCAGCTTTGTACCTTTCACTGGAAAAAAATACCCACCGTATGCACTCATTACAGTAAAGGTATTCTATGGTAAAGGAGTTGAGGTGTGTATTACACCTATTTTTTTAGATTTCTGAAAAAATCAGCAAAAACATTACTTCTTACTTCTTATTTCAAAACTAGAAACAAAGCTTTTATTTTGTTGCCTAATGTGTAAGTAAATTAAACGTTTGAGTGCCAAATATTGTCCCGCCCAAAATCCAGTGAAAATATTTTCACATTTTGTAAAATTGTCACTAAATTTAATCATCTGTTTGGCCCATACATACAGTTTCTGATATTGCTTTTAGTTTTTGATCAAAAGGTTTGTAAAA